CAGGGAGCTGTGCGCCGCAGCTTGTGGGGAGACCGGGCAGGACAGTGGCATACGCTGAGCACTGCCCTTCTGGCCCTGCCCGCAGTGAGGCACTGACCCTGGCACAACTTTGCCTGGGGCTTGCAGGGTTGGGGCAGAGGCCAGCCTCAGTGCGGAGAAGCCAACAGACTAAGATCCTCCCCAGGACTCAGCAGGATGCCAGGTGCTCCCCACCCTGCCTGGAAGGTGTTAGGCAGGCAGGGAGCTGAGAGCACCATCCCTAAGCCCTGTTCTGTTCCAGGAAGGATTCAGATGCATGGGGCTGGGGTGATGGGCCAAGCACTGTGGAACAGAGGGTGCTTGGCCCCCACTGAGCAGGCAAGTTCCAAACAGAGCCCTGAGAGCAACATGAAAAGGGGCAGCTTGGGGGTGAGCTTGGCTCTGAATCCAGCGCTGCTACTCAGCAGGGCAAATTCCTGCCCAGCAGGATGGGGCAAAGGCCCTGTCATGGTCCAGTGCTCCCTGAACCACCATCCCCAGCTCCAGTGAGCGGCAGTGGGGAGCAACAATAGTTGAGTGCTGCCCGACTCCCTTGGGGCTGGCCTCATTCCCAGCTGCGTCTGAGGTTTGCATGTGCACTGAGGCCAGAACACATAAGCTGCCTCAGATTTGTCTGCTGCTCCCCACTGAGCTCAGCCCCGTGGCAGACTGGTGCCTGGGAATCTGGGTGCAGCAAATGGGGTGCAGGATGAGCTGCACCTCCCCAGAACCTGCTAAGTGTCTGATGGCCCCACACCCCACATTTGGGTTGGATGCAACCTGGCCCATTCCTCCTCACAGGTTTTGATCTCTGGCCAAAGCCCGGCAGCAATGCCAAGATAACACTAAGTCCTGCTCTGGAAATGCACTTTTCAGAAAGACGGTGATTTGCCAGCAACTTCTCAGCCTCACTCTCTGCCTGTATCCAGAGGCTGCTGGGTGACAGTGAAGCTCATGGGAGCAGGGAAGGGGGTAGGCTGGAGGATGGGAAGGCTGCCTGCTGCTGCCTGCAGGCACAGCCCATAGCACACAGACACAGAAAGCAGCCCAGGCTCCAGGAACACCCACACACCCACTTTAATCCCAGCCCTGATGCGGCTGGAGGTAGCTCAGAGCAGGGGGATGCGGGATGGCTCCCACAGGCGTCGGGCCAAGTCGCAGGCCTGCTGGACCACGAGTTCAGATGGGATGATGCCCAGGTGTACGGTCAGCAGCTCGTAGCACTTCACTACCTCTGCCTGGTGGTTCTTGCTGTAATAACGCAGAAGCTTCCTGGGGAGGAGAAGACAGGAGATCTGGCAGGTACAGTGCACACCAGTACCTCCTTTTCTAACCACCTTCCCTTTAGAAAGGGAAAGACCCTGCAGAACCATGGCACCAGGCTGGGGAGTCAGGCTGGTGTAACCCTGGTGACACCACAGAAATGGTACCATCCTGCAGTGACACCCTGGTGAGGACAGCATCATTCGGAAGCACCCCATGCCAGTACATTTCAAGTGCTGGTGCCAAGCCACAGGGCTGGTGACTGCTCACCTGTAGTAGTCTCCTGCCAGCATCCCAATAGGAGCAGAATCATCAGACAGGACTGGCACCTCCATCACCTCCAGCTTGTAGCCCTGTGGAGAAATGACAGCAAAGGGCAGGAGCAGGGACTGGGCCACTGGGGAACTGGAGCTGGCTGCACCGACAGCCCGGCTCCCTGCCCCAGAAGGTGCCAGGGCAGAGGGGCTCAGCCCATTCCTGGTGCCACATACCAGCTCATTCTCAAACCAGAGGAAGTAGGAGCAGCAGTAATCACCATCCTGCAGCATAAGCGTTGTGTAGCCCTTCTGTAAATATCGCCGGGCCAGTGTGATCAGGGACCAGACCTGGGGAACAAAGGGCATCTGGAGCCTGAGCAGAAAACCTTTCACATGCCATCCCCTCCTGTGGTTCCCATCCTACCCCTATCCCCATGAGCAGTACCTTCCTCTTGATGAAGGTGGCCAGGGGACCCTTGCCCAGCTCTGAACTGGACTTCTCTGTCACACTGAGTGATGGTGCCATCATCTGCCCAGCTGTGCGGTCCACATAGATGAAGTGCACCAGGCCAGGAAAATCCTCCAGGTATGTGGGGTGGGTTAAGGATGTCCAACAACTTTGGTGCCCTTCCAGGACAGCCCCTAAACCTCAGGCAAACTGCCTTCACCCACCACACAACTCCCCTTGACCCCAGTGCTGGGGGACAGGGCCTCACTCCCACATCTGCTATCCCTATGCCCCCTCGCTGGGCTGGGTTCCCAGCTGCAGGGATGGGTATGACACCATGGTGATATTGCGCCTGCTCTTCACCAGCAGAAAGTCCCGCCAGTCCAGCAGCTTCTCCCTGACAAGAAGAGATGGGGTGAGAGGCAAGGACCCTCAAACCACTGCACAGCTGGACGTGGGGCAGCCCCTTGTGGGGATGCTAGCCATCCCCATGCACTCACTTCATTAGCTTCTGGGCCCGGTCCCGCAGTCCCTGGGACAGGCTCTGGCCAGCAGAGATCAGGAAGAGCTGGCGGTACATGGAGCAGAGCTGCCGCTTCACATTGGCCACTGCCTGTAGCAGCCTGAGTCAGGAGACATGGACAGTGCTAAGTTTGGACACTGGCTCCCCAGCACTGCAGGGACAGCTGTGCTGCCCTCCAGGCTGAGAAAGGTCCCCACTTGCCCCAGACACTTTCCCTGGCCACCCTCTACTTACTCCAGGTTGCTCCCAGGCTCATTCCGAGAAAATATCTTGTTCTTGAAGTCCATCCAGGTGTTCTGCAACTAAAAGAGACAGGGCTGTGTCAGGCTGTGGGGACAGCAGGACAAGGTCCTCATGTTCCCACTCCCACCTGGATGTCCTGTCCACTCAGCTTCTTCACAAACTTATCCATGCGCTGCCGCAGCTCAGCCAGGAATGGGTAGGAGCGTGAGACTCCTGCCTCTGACCCCTCTTCCAGCTTCTTCTCCAGCACCAAGAAACCATCCAGCAGCTGATACAAGGTGATAGCCACATGGGTCATGGGGCCCTGCCAGGGAAGGGAGAGGTGGGTCAGGCAGGACACAGTCCAACATCATTTTCCTCACCTCAGAGCCAGCTCACCTTGGTCAGGAGCACGAGGGAGATGCCTGGCCATAGTGGGAGGCAGTGCATGCTGTGTGGCAGCAAGGGGCAGTAACCTTCCCGCAGGTTGGCATCCAGGAAGATCCTTCTGGGATTTGAAACTTCAGGGACCAGAAGTCCCAAAGTCTGGATCAAGTCCTCTGCCATCTGGGGAGAAACAGATGCTCAGCTCACTGTGGGGATGAGGCAGCTCACACGAACCCAGGATGCTTTGCACGGATGCAGCAATGCCCTGAAAGCCACAACCAGGCACGACTGAACCGAAGGAGCTGGAGGGGCCACACAACAAAAGATAAGCAGCGAGGCAAGTGTTCAGGAACCCCCAAAAGGAACAGCAGGCAGAGGGGAAGCCTGTTGCAAAGACAAAGGTTGTAGATGCCTTAAACCGAGGCCAGTGCTTGCTTGCAGTGTGTGAGGTGCTTCAGTATCCATCAGGGAAGCAGCCCAGAAAGCCCAGAGGCAGCAGAGGGAGACACTGGACTGCTCTAAGGCAGCCCCGGTCCCTCTCTGCTGACAGCTCTGGACAGGGAGTCTGTAAGTAATGCCTCAGAGAGCAGTCACAGCTGTCACAGTTATGCAAGGCACTCACAGCTGCAGCACAGCAAGAGATGACTGATGAGGATGGAGACTGCAAAGAGCACTGGGACAGGCTGAGGAGGTGTGGAGCTGGACTCTGTGCTCACCTGGACATCTGCAGAGTCTGCCTCTCCGGTGCTCAGTATTTCAGCACCCTCTGACCAGCTCTCGCTGCCTGCAGGGAACATGGCAGGTTGCTCTTCCCAGCCCCACTCACAGCCCTGGAGCCTCTGCAGGGCTGGGGGTATGGGGCAGGTCTGCTACCTGGCTAAGCACTCACCTGTGCTGTGTCTGCCTGGTGAGGGCTCAGGTGTGTAATAGACCTCGGACACAGAGTGATCATCTGTGTCCTGCCAGCAAGAACAGACAGGTCAGCAATGGGAACAATGAAGGCAACCCACCCAGCATCCTGATCCCAGACTCACCGGGTCATCTGAGTCCTTCTCTACAGCTCCATAGGAGCCAGGGCCACTCACAGGAATGCTCTTACTTCTCTTGGGTCCTTGAGGGAGAACATTCCCTGGTGTGGGCTTCTAAAAAGAGGGGAAAAAAAATTAAGCCCTGGCTGCCAAGGCATCACCCCACAGGGACACTCTGACCTGCTGTGCTCCCCATGTTGCTCTGGAGCACCTGGGGACTGAGCTCCTCCTCGGCGCTCTGGCTGGGGTACAGGTCCTGCACCAGGAGGATGAGGATGAGCAGGTCAGCTGGGCGGATAGAGCTGGCGTTGCGGCTGCAGACCAGAGAAGGGAAGGGTCAGCCAGGAGGACAAGTGGCTGCCCTGGGGAGGGTAGTGGGACTGGATGCACCTGGAGTAGAAGGCCAGCAGCTTGGTGTGCACCAGGAGGAAGGCATGGACCACCTCATCCCCTCCACGCTCAGGGCTAGCATTGATGTACTGCACCACTTGTCGCTCTAGGAACTCGATGCACTGTTCGCACAGCTGAGGGTGGATCAGCCGCTCCACAGCCTGGGGTGCAGGGGAAGGGAAAGGTTGCTGACCTACCCCAGACACAGCCTTGCATCCCCAGGGGCAGGTCTGAGCTTTGATTGTTCTGGGGAGCTGCCCCAAAGTCCTCAGCACAGAGTTTTTGCCCACATCCTGGGACTCTACAAAGCCTTACACCTCTTGAATGCCCCAAAAGTGAGGGACACCCCAGGGCATGGTACCTCCACTGCAAAGCTCTGGTCCTCCTCCCGCAGGTGGCTGTAGGTCTCCAGCAGGCCCCGCAGCAGGCTCCATACACGCTCCCGCTGGTCCGAATCAGCTGGCCGCAGCCTACGACGATTGCAGAGTGTGAGCTGAGAGGTGGCCATCACCTCCCTGGGTGGGGTGGACACCCCAAAACCCAGTTGCAACCCAGCAGGCAGGGAGTCCTGCTGCAAAGGCAAGAGGTCCCAGCTTGGAGACACCCACTCCCACCCGCCAGTA